ATCTGAAACAGAAAATGAAACTCAAATCATTTTAAACATTTTGTTTATCCCCTTTTGACACTAAGAATGATAATCGCTTTATATTTTGATTTTAATTTCAGTATTTTAATTAAAACAAAAATGAAGTATCCAATCATTTCTTGTTTTTTAATGCCCGTTTCAAAAATGAAAATCCAATGACCAAAAGATACACTGACCGAGCTAACTGCTGCTCTGCTAACTTAATAACTTTACTAATTCCTCAACATTGCATCCTTAGATTTTGTACAGTGTCCTGAGATGATGTTTGTTGTTTCCGCCTCCACCATCGGCCTCCAGCGTTTGCAGACATCATCTGCCAACCCGGACCTTGAATGGGCCAGTCAGGTTCTAAATTCCCGCACCACTTTTTTGCCCCAGTCTGCCCCTGACTCCAGCATCATATGATCTTGAACGTGCAAATTAATATAATTCCTCAAAGCAAACGTGTGTTGTGAAAAACTTATTCTGCCACATTAAATGTAAAGCATGAGTCAATGACATCACTATATTTTGTTCTTGGATCAAGATAATCTAAAGTTTCAACACTTTGTGGTGTCAAATTTAATCACCAAGCATCAATGTAAAAATCCCAATGTATAAAATTTCTTGTAGCTAAAAATATTTTAAATTAAAAACTATGACTGAAAATAATAAAAACTTACTAAACAAACAAAATCAACAGAATCTACATGAGAACTGTTACACACAGTTCTTTTAAACCACAATTCAAATGCTGTGTGATCTTCAAAGATTAATTTTTAGTTTTTTTTTAATTGTCAGTTTCAAGTTATGTCCGTGACCGTTGTGGGCTTTTCAGTCATTAACAGAGGGCTATCAATAATTTTGTCCATGTGTAAATGTAGAAGCAGTGTAAATAAATAACTTGCAACCATGCCACAGTGAAAAGCTAAAATAAGCATAATAGCAGCTAAAACTAGAATACTGTAAGTAAAAAAGTAGCTATGCCTTGCAAAATCATAGTTAAAAGTGAAAGGTAGCAAAACTTGAAAAAGAACCTAGCTGTTACTGGTGTTTCATTCTAGCTGCTGCTAAGTTTTAACTTGAAGCATGAAGCAAATGTCAGCTAATACATTTTAAACTTTAATTGTCTTTATGATTGTTAAAGCTGTTCAAACTAAAGTGAGATTATTTGCTGAAAAAAAATTTGATTGCAGGTACTTCAAAGCCAGTTCCTCCTGAGAAGTCCCCTATAAGTGTGACGTCTCCAACCCAGGATGGAAACACGGACTTTCAGATTGGTGACAGGGTCTGGGTGAACGGCAACAAGCCTGGCTATGTGCAGTTTGTTGGAAGCACACAGTTTGCACCTGGGCAGTGGGCAGGCATTGTTCTGGATGAACCAATTGGGAAGAATGACGGGTCCGTGGCAGGTGTACGGTACTTCCAGTGTGAGGATGGACGGGGCATTTTTACACGGCCTTCAAAGCTGTCCCATACTACACTGCAAGAGAAAGAGGGGAATGAAGGGCGGGCCAGCTCAGTTCAAGAAATCCCTGCGGTCAGCGAGTCTGCATCTGCTGGCCCTACCTCAACTGGTAACTACCCGATATCTCTTTAATGTTCATTTTGTTCATGTTGCATTTCAGAATTTAAATTATAATAGGCCATGATTTCTTTAGGAGATTTTAGTGTAACTTTTAGGTGTAAAAAGTCCATGCATTCATTATGTTATGCATGCCTTCAATTGTAGTGGAGAATAATTGAACACAGCTGAAAAAAATAACTTAAAGTTTAGTAGTGGTTGTTTTTATCGTTTGAAGCAGAAACAGWTTCTAGTTTCCAGAAAAAAAWWTTTTTTTCCTACAAATGTGTTGACTTTAAGGCTGCAAGCATTAATCTGTATTGCTGGACTGGACATCACGTGACTTATCGTGCACCGCACAGGTGCCAATGCTATGTATTGAGTTGAGACTCAGGAACAGTGATGGGATGTAACAAAGTACAAGTACTTTGCTACTGTACTCAAGAGCATTTTTCATGTATCTGTACTTAAGTACATTTAATCATGAGTACTTTCGACTTTTACTCAACTACAATGTACATTAAGTATCTGTATGTTCTACTCCACTACATTTATTAATGCGTTGCATTACAAATTACATTCACATCACAGTAGGGAGTTTGACAGTAATCAATTGTGAGAGGGGAATTGCTGTAATTGATTCACTGAACCACTGCAAAGCAGGAAAATCTTTAGACCCTCCTTCAAGAAGAGTGGGGCGATTTTTGCATCACCTGCTGGAGCTTCAGCAGGAGCATTAGTGGCAACACTAGCTCACCTAGGCTGAACTGTGTGGATCTATATTACTGGTGTAGGTGTTCTGTCTAGGCAGCATACATTATGTCGCATAGTTTACAATTATGTATGTTACTGTGTGTGTGTGTGTGTGTGTGTGTGTGTGTGTGTGT